CCCCCCCACCCCCCAAAAACACACCCTGCGGATTTCTTTTTTTTTACGCGCAAATGGCCCCAAGGCGTCCCCTGCCCTCGCACAACCCCGTGGCGCGCGTGCGCTGATGTTTTGATGCGCGCGTGTGCCTTCAAACACTTTGAGCGCGTTTGAGCGCGACGTGGGGGTCTTTAAGCGCGCGGTTAAGCGCGCTCATACAGTCTCATAGGATGTCTGGGCGGGACCGAGAGGAACGAGGGTCCTCGGAGGTAGGTCGGGAGGGGTGTCGCCCATGGTTCCAATGAATGGGACTCGATGAGTCTGACCACACTTCGTTTTGAGAACAATTGTCTTGGTCACCCATTCGGCCTCTGTGCCACGGAACTGGCGAGACCAGGGAGTGCCAAGGATAAAGTCGTACCCAGTCTCCAACACGTCAAAGTATGCGGAGGAATGGTAGCGCCGTGGCGCGTGGGTACGATCCGGTGGCTGAAGGGTGAGGGAAAAGTGGAGATCGGGACCGTCTGATCGTAGAAGCGTTGCGTCTTGTTATCTCCGAGGGTAAAGGAGACAGGAGAGTGAGACTCGGAGGTAGCTAAACGAGCTTCCTCAACCACACGAGGGTGAACAGACTCTCCCTGCGAGCCGGAGTCCCATTAAGTGCGACACACCCTCATAAATGTACCCAAGCGGATAGGAATGATGGGGAGGGTGCGATCAGGGTCAAAGAACAAAGTGAGGAGACGACACATGACGTTTACATGTCTCGTGAGTCGCTCTTGACGAGCCTAAAGAATACTAAAGTCTAAAAGAGATGACACAACGTCATTGCGAGTCGCCAGCTGAGCGCTACAACGAGCTGTGCGAATGGCGCGATGGGTCGGAAGTCGTGGAGGGGAAGGACTAGATGCGGCGGTCTGCGGTGGGGCAGGCGGTACCTCGACAGACGGCAGGGCAGAGGGAACTGCGTTTGTCGTTTCCTGAGGATCCTCTGGTGGGGTAGCCAAAGGGGCAAACTGCGACTCAGTGGTCAAGAAGCCGGCTAAGTGCGAGGCCTCGACGCCGTCAGCGGTACACTGCACCGTGGCTAGCTGGATGAGACTGGTCAAGCAGGGTCGGGGGGGGACTGAGATCGATGTTGACAAGAAATGTCAGCATAGTGTCAATCGAGGGTCGCATAGTATGGACACCGTGACGAGCTGTGTCCATCTTGGCGGCAATGAAGGCGGATAGAGCTCCGCGAGGAGGGATGAAACCCTGCGGGAGGTCTATCTGAGGGACCGCGAACATGCGGGTGCCAGCTTGTGCAACCCGACTGCGCGCACGACCCATGGCGGGCATGACCATCTGCAAGCGCTCGGCCACCAGTAGAGTGTCGTCATCCAAGTGGTATTGGACGACGTCCCGAAGCTTGATGTCCTCGGGAGCATCCCCAAAAAAAGGGTCAAGCTCGGCTGAGGCGTCCTCACCATACTTGAAGGAATTGTAACGCCAATAAAATGGCGCTCCAAGCCGAGCTGGTCCGCGAAAATGGTCGGCGAAAGAGGATCGACCGCGAGTGGTGCCGCGTGACTCGGTGGCGGCGACAGTGGATCGCGAAGAAGATGGAGCGTTGGAGAAGCGATTCTGCATCTTCTGGTACTGTCGAGCAGCATCGTAGGCCTGCTCTGAGGAGGCGAAGGTCTCTCACCAGAGCTCGATGCGGTGGTAAGTCGGAAGACTGACGACGAACCTGTTGGTCAAAAGGTCCTTAGGTAGAAGTGGTTCATCGCAAATGAGGCGGGCGTCATGAAACACCCGGATGTGACACTCTAGGTCTGCTGGTGTGGAGGACCCGCGCCATTGCATCTGGGTCACCCGATCTAAGGCATCGGTCGCGTCGTGTAGTGTGCCATAGCGGTCATGAAGGAATGTGGTGAGGTCCGCGAGAGTGGGAGCCTCACCCGAGCGAGTACGATGGGTATAGTGGTTCTCCCATGCGGAGAACGCGCTGCCTCACAATTTAGTTGTGAGCATAGAGCACCACAACTCCTGACTTGTATTTGTCAGAGTCAGCACACGTGTGGCAGTCTGCAGCCAATGTGACACACGAAGTGTACCATCGTAGTCGGGTATATACAATAGACGCAGAAGGGTGAGACTGTTGTGCTAACGGCGGGGGGAGAGAGGTTGCTGGACCTGCACTGCGGCGACAAATGTTAGGGCCAGTGTAGGGGTGGAAGTGAAGGCAAGTTGTGGGTCGAGGCTGCTGGTAAGGTCAAACAGAGGTGGGGGCCACGACCGCAGCCAGGTGAGATGGAATGGCGAGGTAGGTGGGTAGAGGGGGAGGAGCAGGTCGAGGGAAACGAGCCTGCAAGACAAATGTGAAAGGGGCGGTTTAAGAAGAAGAAGGGTGAGCAGTCTGTGAAGTGTGAGGCTGTCTCATGGTGAGAATCTCCGCTTGGAGTTGCGCGACGGTAGCCTGCAAGGTAGCCACTCGTTGGGTGCACGGGGTCGGACGTGGAGGAGGCGGAGAGGGTACCTTAGCAGGAGGAGTAACGAACTGTGGGGAACCCTGAGGTGAGAGAGAGGAGATGATGGGAGGACTCCGGTCCATAGTGTCGGGACCGAAGCCGGAACTTCAAGCTAGTAAGCCATACCTGGATGAGTAGGTGAAACTACTTAGCTAGATACCGGTATCTGGGCAGCAACACCAACGGTAGTGGCCAAAGCGGCAGGGGCCGACGGAAGTCCCGCAACAGATTGTATGGTCTTAGTGGCGACAACACTCACCACTACGGAGGGGGAGTGCTGAACCTGACCCACGTCGGAGGACGAACCACCACGTCTCCATGTCTGGAGTCGTGGAAATCCGAACTGTGAGCCGGTAGGGGATGGAGTCTGAGAGCGGTGGGGAGAGCGATGAGGAGAACCCTTGAGGTGGTGAACTTCAAGGGCGAACACATTGACTTGCCCCTCCAGGGGTACAAGCGCCTCGAGTCGCGCTTGGAAAGGTGCAAGGAGGGACGCAAGGACAACACGAAGGTCCATGAGGTCCACATGGTTCTGACCCGTAACCGTCGGGTGGGTGCGTGCTTGAGAGACGGAGGGCACCGAGATGATCTCCTCAGCTGTAGCCCTGTCCGTGGGTAGTGGACGTATGGGGGTAGACATGGTGGGAGGTGGAGAAAGAGGTGGGGAAAGAGATGGGTGGTGGCGTGGGGATAGGGGACCACCATTGAGAGGGAGGGGACCGCGGGAGTGGAGTGGGTAGTCGTGAATCGGTGTCGAGCTCATTGGTCCAGCAAGGGGACCCTCCCGACCACGTCACGCAGGATTTTGCAGGACTTCCTCGTAGAGCGAGGTTTGTCGCTCCGGCCGAGTGCGCCAGCCGTACCTCTCGCGAGCCCCTACGAAAGGATAGGGTCACGCAAGGCACGTCTTACCTCCACCCGCAGGAGCTGTCACCATCCCTTGGGTGAGCGTATCCCCGTCGAGCTACCGAACCACATGCGAAAGGTTTTCGTATGCAATCACAGAGGTGGCTTGGCCGAGGGCGTTTCTTGTTCGCTATAGGATTGGGGGTACTCGCAGTCAACGCCCCTCAATCGGACCCGCACGCGAATCGGCGCATTGGGAGGCTGAGGTCCCAAGCACGACTTATCGTCGGTTGACTAGGACGCAATCCACTCACCACGCGTTACACCACAATAAATTTAAAATACACACACAAAAACAAAACTTCACGAGTCCCTTCAGTGTTCGACCCATAACCTTTTAACACAACAATCGGTTCGGTATCGTGCGAGAGACTCAACATAAAACTGTGCGAGCGCTAGACCTTTCTCACATCGACTAGCAATGCAAGCATACGCACGTAGTCACAACGATGGACTACTATGTGGTACCCACA